TTTTATATCCCACTTTAGTACTATTACGGCACCGATTACTGATTGCTTGCATGGCAAGACCTTTTTGTGGACACCGCAGGCTGAGGAGGCGTTTACTCTTATTAAGAGTAAGTTGACGACCGTGCCTGTGCTCGTTTTACCGGATTTTTCGAAGGCGTTCGAGTTGTCTTGTGATGCTTCGAAGGTGGGCATTGGGGCTGTCCTTGGCCAGGACGGTCGCCCGGTATCATTTTTTAGTGAGAAATTGTTCAGGCCACGATCGCGATACAGTACTTATGATGTGGAGTTCTACGCTGTGGTCCGGGCTGTTCGTCATTGGCGGCACTATTTATTTCACCGGGAGTTTATTCTTTACACAGACCATGAGGCATTGCGTCACTTGGCGTCTCAAGACAATATTTCTGCCCGGCATGCCTCTTGGACTGCATTCCTTCAGCAGTTTACCTTTGTTCTTCGTCACCGCTCGGGAGTGTCGAACAGGGTGGCGGATGCTTTGAGTCGGCGGACACTCTTATTGACGGATATGCGGGTGTCGGTTCTCGGTTTTGATGCTTTACAGGAGCACTACGCGGCTGATGCTCTTTTTGGCCCTATTATTCAGCGTCTCGCGCGCGGCCCGGTGGACGACTATGTCTTGCTCGATGGTTTTCTTTTTCGCGGGACCCGCCTGTGTATTCCGGAGGGTAGCTTACAACTCAAGCTTGTGGCGGATTTGCACGGCGCCAGGCATGTGGGCCGGGACCGTTCGGTGGAGCTAGTGAGCCGGCGCTATTTTTGGTCGTCTCTTCGTCGCAATGTAGCCCGTTATGTGGAACGGTGTCGGGTTTGTCATGTGGCAAAGGGTGTTGCTTCGAATGCCGGGCTTTATCGTCCCCTACCTATTCCTTCTCGGCCTTCGTGTGCGGTGTCTATGGATTTCTTGTTGGGGTTGCCTCGAACCCAGCGCGGCTTTGACTCTATCTTTGTGATCGTCGATCGTTTCTCGAAGATTGTTCACTTTGTGCCGTGTAAGCGCACGACGGATGCAGTGCATGTTGCTCAATTGTTCTTTCGTGAGGTTTACCACTTGCATGGGCTTCCTTCATCCATTGTTTTGGATCTTGACACTCGATTTTTTAAGTCATTTTTGGCGTAGTCTGTGGCGCATGGCAAACACTCAGTTGAATTTTAGTAGCGCGTACCACCCTCAGACGGATGGGCAAACGGAAGTGGTGAACTGTTCGTTGGGAAACTTGCTGCGATGCTTGGTCGTTGACAACCTTCGTAGTTGGGACCAACGGCTTATCCAAGCCGAGTTTGCGCATAACTCGGCCGTGAGTAGGGCTACGGGCTTGTCCCCTTTTGAGGCGGTTTATGCGGTGAGACCGAGGGGGCCGTCTGACCTCGTGGCACTTCCTTCGGAGACCGACGATCGGCGGGCTACTGATTTTGTGACGGACTTGCGGGCCACGCATGAGGCCGTCCGGGCTCGTTTGGAGGCCACGACCGCGGCGTACAAGCAGCGCGCGGACGTCCGACGACGTCACGTCGAGTTCGATGTTGGGGACTATGTATGGGCTGTTCTTACAAAGGATCGCTTCTCGACTCATGAGTTCAACAAGTTGTCGGCTCGGAAGATTGGCCCGGTGGAGATAGTGGAGAAGATTAATCCGAATGCATACCGCCTTTGTCTGCCTTCCTATATTCGCACTTCGGACGTTTTTAACGTCAAACACTTGGTGCCTTTTGCAGGTGATAATTCAGACGGAGACGAGGCTGGTTCGGATTCGCGACCGAATCCTTCTCAACCGGGGGAGGATGATGGAGACGAGGCTGCCTTGGCATATTTGGATAAATTTGATTGGCTTCGAATTTAGTTCTTTATTTATTTTATTTCCCTTTCCTTTTATTTATGCATTTTCCTTATTTCCTATCTTAGTTTAGGTAAGAAAATAATGTCCTTGCAGTTGTTTAGCAAGGTAGGACTCTCTTTTCTATTTATTAGCTGATGTGAGATTGAAAAAGACGACTGAAGATTTTATGAAATTATCTGGTGTTTTATTTTCACGAGAGAGTTTCGCGTTCTTCCCTATTTACATATCACGTCAGCTTATCAATTAATAATGATCAAAGAAAAAAAAAAGCAACATTTAAATTTTATACTACTAAATTTAGGTTCTTTGTGTCAATTATTAGAATAACGGAAATGTTACAGTTCCGTTATGAAATCATTCTATTGGGGTTTATTACCGTTACATCATCATATAACCGTCAAAGATAGTTGTTCTAACGGTTACAAAGCTCCAACGTAATTGAGACGGTAGCATCTTCATGAATTATCATATAGTAACCATTGATAATCTCAATAATAAAGTATCCGCAATCTATATATGTATATATATATATATATATATATATATATATATATATATATATATATTAAAAACCAACCTATTTACCAAAAACAGTAACAAGAAAAGTCAACACACATTTAATGCATATTTTATTTGGAAATTTTTTACTATATGCATTAAATGCTTGCATATTTATATTTACTATCCAAATATGATCTTCAAGATTTTTTCCATAAATAATTTATGCAATGATTTATACTGATATCCATTATAATTAATATTTGTCGAGTAATATTTTTTAAACTTTATTTAATTATATAACACTAATATTTTTTTTACAAAAAAATAATATTATTTATTATTTAAAAGATAATAATCACATCATTAAATGATTTTATTGATGATTAAACAATAAAATTATATTAGTTATTCATTAAAATTTGGACATGTTATTTATTTGTATATTATTGTGAACTATGATAGTGTTTTTATCACTTTTTTTTTTTGTTATGTTTCAAAAATGAACTTATTGTAAAATATTTTTCTATTGCATAGTATGTTAAATAAACTATAAAGCCTTAGGATGAAAATTAGAAAAAAATCTCTTGATTATGTAAGGGATTTATTTTTTGGCAATTGCTAAATCATTTTTTAAAAAAAAAAAAATTATTATGAGAAAATTAAATTCTAAAAAACATGTGTGTGTATTTTGTAAACATTTATACTCATAATTTTATTTTGAATTTCATTACATAAAGAAGACTACTTCTACAACTTTTATAAATAATAATAATTACATTATAAGACTGTAAATTTTATAATAAAATAATAATTGAGTATTATATGGTGAACAATAATTAATAAAAAATTTATTTTTTCCTATATCAATGAATAAAGATGTATTCTAAAATTAATAATATTAGTATGACATGTTAGCAGAATTATATATTAATTAACATGTTAATTTTTGGCTTAAATAAACGCCACTTATTAAAATATGTGAAATATGGATGATCCAAGCCTATAGTTTTTTTGTCTAGACGTACAAGTCCTATAGAAATAATTGATTTATTATATGTATCACGTGCATCGTACGGGATATGCACTAATAAATGACCTTAAAATTGTGCACTCGTGCATCACCCGTGTTCACATTTTGGCCTATTACAAGTCACGTACTATATATATCCCGTACATTTTTTTTATTCATTTATATATTTATAAGAATTGATAAATGACTTTTAAAATTGTGCACCACGTGCATCGCACGAGCTCTGTACTAGTTAAGTTCTTGATAGACTAACATAAAAATAAAAACACACAAAATAATAAATTTAGGATAATATGAAATTGTACTAGAGTACAATACAAAACGGACAGAACACCAAAATTATAGTCAAACTATCAATTATTAAGTAAAAAGATAATGAATAAAAGATAAATTAATCATTAACTTAAAAAATTATAATTCAAAATTCATTACATATTATTTTTATTTTATAATCCTAAATTATAACTAGTGTTTTAAAAATCAAGCTATGTACTATACAGGTGTCCAAGATTTTGTAGACATTTGGACAATCAACTGCAAAGTTAGTAAGTTACGAGCTATTTAAATAGATTTTGCGACGATTTGGGCCGTCCGATCTCGTCTAAGGCTTACTTTATCAGTGACACTGATATTGGGTCGCCCCCTTCAACACAAAAAAAAATCAAAAAAAAAAGAAAAAGAAGGTCATTAAATTAGCAACCCAGGTCACAATATGACCCTGGGTTGCAACCGGTTGTTTGGATTTTTATTCGACAAGTGTAATTTTTTAAATTAAAAAAAATATATAAAAAATACTAAAATTTATATTTTTTTAATCTCTACAAATAGAGACCACACTTGATATATTTTAGAATAAAATTGTAATATTTAGATAAATTAAAATAAAGCATATATTTAGGTTGTGTTTGGTTGAGAATAAAGATAAATTGGGTTGTAGGATTGGGTTGTATAAGTGGAGGAGAGAAAAATAATTTTAAATTATTAGGTTGGGTTGGGTTGGGTCAGGGATAAAGATAGTCCAACGTTGGTATAAACTTTATTATAAATTTAAATTTATTTATACATAAGGTATACAAAAAATTATATAATTAAAAATATTAATAAATTAATAAAAAATAATATAGTAATTATAGATAAAGGAGATTCCCATTACGAAACATATCGGTCAGAGTTTATAACCGTTAGATCAATTATCCATGACAATTACGTGATAGATCTAACAATTTCAAATTCCGACGAAATGGCTCCGTGACATAATAGTAGTATTTCTCAATAAATATATTGGATTAAAACTTTTTACTATATTAATTAATTAATACTCTCTCCTATTCATTATAAATGTCGTTTTGACTTTTTTGATTCATCTATTTTGTTATGTATTTAGACATATTAATGTCTAGATACATAATAAAATATGAATCACAAAAATCAAAACCACAATTATAATGAACAGGAGGTAGTATATTTAACACACAACATTTTGTGACGCCAGCATTTGCTCGAGCGGCCGTGATCTAGAACATTGGCTACGCCCAAAGATCTACACACATTCATGATTCATCAGTGTTCACTGTAAATTTCATCTTGGAAAAAGAAAGAAAAAAAGAAAAAAAAAAATGGCGACCAGCGAAAAGCCTACCGAAATCAGCCGTTCAAAGATGTTCGGCGGCCACAACAAGAGATACAAACACCACAGCCCCACGCTCGGCTGCTCCATGACCTTCCATGTCTATTTCCCCCCTTCACCTTCACCTTCCCACAAATTCCCTGTATGTCCCAAAACGCTCATTTTCACCACTTTTTGGGCGGGATTGACCTAATAATGCAAAAATTTGTTGTTTCCCTATGATATATTTTGCTGGAATTTTGTGGTGTTGCTGTTGTTCTTGATTTTGGGGTTGTATCAAAAACTTCAATTTTTTGTCAATTTTTGCATGAGCTCCGTTTTTTGCTGGGTTTGTTTTCCCCTTGTTCTTGATTTTGGGGTTGTGTAAAAAAAAAAAAAAAAAATCCTTTTTTTGTTCAATTTTTATTTTTTCTTGCGAGTTTTTGGATATGCTTCTGCTGTGTGTCGATTAAATCTCTGCTCTTTTGGGATGGTTCCATGTTATATTGTGCTACATTATTGTTTTATGAAGCACCCCAATTGCTGTTGCTTCTTTGTAGTAATGCTTTATGCTCAATATTTTGGACTGCTGCTGTTGTTTTTGTTTAATTTTATGTTGTTTGGTTTTGTAATAAGGTTTTATGCTGTTCTTTGTAATTATTCTATTGAGCATTTACTGTTTGATTGTTGTTTTTCTCTTTGGATCATTCTTTTTGCATGCTTGAGTTTCACCTACTGGAGTTGAGCAGAACATACAAATTATGGGTTGTCGATATGAGACTGCATATTGAACTCAGATCATGTTATTTTTCTTGATTTTTGAGTTTTATCAAATAAATCGTCTTTTCTGGGGTGGTTCAGTTTTTGTATGAGTTCCGTTATTCCTTTTTGAAGCACCTTAATTGTTGTTGCTTTGTAATAAGGCTGATAGTAGATACAAAATTAATTGCAAGTTTGGTTCGGCCATTATAAGGGGTGCTCGTATAGTTAGTCCTTGATTTTTTCTCTTAATGATTATATTTCTTGAAAATGTAGTATTGTGGCTAATTCTGTTATGTACGTGTGTGATGTTTGATTTCTCCTTATAAATATTCTTCTCTTACGATCTTTCGGTTTGTATGCTTGAGTTTTAGCCACTGGAGTTGAGCAGAATATACAAATTATGGGTTGTTGATATGATGACATTTACACCTATGACACATTTGATTGAATATTAAACTCGGGGATGAATTTTTTTCTTGGACCTGTTTTCAATTGTCTCTAGGTTCTTTACTGGCTTTCTGGCCTTACATGCACGGATGAGAATTTTATAGCAAAATCTGGGGCTCAGCGTGTTGCTTCAAGCGAGGGTATTGTGTTGATTGTCCCCGACACTTCTCCAAGTGAGTTATTTAGCTTAATTTTTACTCGGCATAGTTAAAGGATGAAATCTCTCAAATCAGTAACAGTTGCTTTCTTCAGTAAAGTTTGGAGCTCGATTTACACTCGTCTATTGCTGGAAAATAGAAATATGAAAGGAGTTACCCTTTGTCATTTATGATTCAGGTGTAAATAAGGTTAATTTGTGTCTTTTACTTGCTCTCAATTTAACGGTGAAGAAAACGAAATAGTAATGGGATGTATTTTCATCTAATTGATATGAACGTAGTCAAAGGAATAAAATTAGATAAATAAATGCTGCACGTGATAGTGTCTTGTGTTGAGACGTCCAAAATAACATGAGAAAGATCATTTGGAACAAACGGAGTTATAACTTTCTTCCGTGAATAATCAGGGCGAGCTCGTTTTGTTACTAATTCTTCTAAAAAATTAGCAAATGAGATATTTAGTTATTGAAACTCAACATAGAAGATACGTACAACTATATTAAAAATTTACATGCTTTTAATAAACATTTCCAATCAAATTGACAAATTCATGATATCTACTATTATCTAGTGCTCTTCTCCAAAAAAGAATATGGAAATCTAGTAATTAGTTTTTATGTTCATACTTCCCCTTAATGAATAAAAAAATCAACTAAACACACATTGATGTACTGAAAAGGTCGACTCTGTATCCTATTGCAAGGCGTAAAATTTAATATGTTGGTTACTTGGTGCAAAATATCATGGTAACTGTGCTGTTATTTGGTTTTAAAAATATACATACATGCAGAACATTGCTCTTCTTTGCCTTTCTTTTTGCATTTTTGCTTTAAATCATAGTAGATAGTTTGATTGCTAGAGCCGTAATTACCTACACAAATTAATTCGTCTCATTTTAACTTGTCATAAATTTGATTCTTCTTAATTAGAATTCTACAAAGAGACTCTAACCGACTAATTCTTGAATTTATTGTCAATTGGTGATTGAATAATATACTTGCCTCCACAGGAGGACTTAATGTCGAGGGAGAGTCTGACAGCTGGGATTTTGGTGTCGGTATGTCCTGTTTCAATTTACCAATTTACCCTTAATCTGAATGAAGAATTTCAATCATAAAGATAATGTGAAACAGAGGACAGGGAATGCGCAGAACATACAGGACTTCCATTCGTTTTTTCATTTTACTCCATTTGGATATAACAATAATGGACCAAATTCGGTCTGTTTGAAACCTTATAAATAAAAAACATACTTATTCTTGCATATGTGATTTTATTGGCCATTGAATTTGAACTTCGATGCTTATTTATTATTTATTTTTCGATAGGTGCTGGGTTTTATCTTAATGCAACTCAAGATAAGTGGAAGAACTGGCAAATGTATGACTATATTGTGAAGGAATTGCCAGCACTTGTGAAGGAAAACTTCCCACAGATCGACACAACACGAGCATCGATTTTCGGTCATTCTATGGGCGGGCATGGAGCTCTCACGATCTACTTGAAAAATTTGGACAAGTACAAGGTTTGACTTTGATTCTACATTTCATTTTCTAGTTTAGTTTTACCAAGATTTTGCTAATTAATTTGAATTTCAGGGTAATTTAGCAGTTATCATAATTAACGCAGCCGAATTCAAACTAGTTACCAAGATTTCGCTTAGCTTCGTACTTTTTACTGTTCCCTACTGCTTCATTTACAGTCGGTCTCTGCTTTCTCGCCTATTGTCAACCCAATAAACTGTCCGTGGGGCCAGAAAGCTTTCACTAATTACTTGGGCGAAAATAAAGCTGATTGGGAGGTACGTTTATATAGATCAGATTTACTCCTCGTCTGAAAGTCTATTTTGAAACTTATCAGATTGAACCTTACATTATGTGATATTATCAAAATGCAGGAATACGATGCCACTGTTCTCGTATCAAAATTCAATAACGTCTCGGCTACTATCCTAATCGATCAGGTAACAACCTAATCTATCCCTCGTTAGTTTGTGGGGAAAGAAGTTACATTTACAACATTTAGGGCGTGCTTGGATACAAATATATCCCGCTCAAAATGAGTTTTTTTTGGTTAACCAGGGTTAATTTTTAAAAAAGTGTTATGGTTAGTGAAATTTTGAGTTTATATTAAAATACTACTTAAAAATAAAATAACCAAAGTTTTGATGTAAAATTAGAAGGAGATAATGTAAAGTTATGGTTAGTTATAATTATGTGAGTGGATAAATAGTGAATTAGTGTAATGTGTAAGAATGATTGATTGATATTATATATACTTATATTGATAATATTGAGGATAGTAGGGTTGGGTTAAATTGAGTTAGATTTTGAGTATGAATTGAAAAAATTATAAACAAGGTAAAATTGCGTGTCTAAAGAAGAAACTAGAAATACATGTATGCGTAAACTTTTCTAATTGTTCGATTTTTTTTTTTTTTTTTTTTTTTTTTTTTTTTTTTTTTTAAGGGAGACGAAGACAAATTCTTGCACGATCAACTTCTGCCGAACAAGTTTGAGGAGGCATGTCGAAAGGTTAATGTGCCTCTATTGCTACGAATGCAATCTGGTTATGACCACTCGTACTATTTCATAGCCACCTTTATCGATGACCACATTCGCCACCATACTCAAGCCCTTAACCTTTGAAGTGACCTTTGGATAATTTTCGTTTTTGTCGTGTGTTTATGCTCGAGTGCTCGTGTTTGGAACTACGTTTTGAGTTGTGTTCTCTTGTATTTGTGGTCATATGTGTTTGTGATGCTCTAGAATATAAGACCAAAAATGGAGTTACATATGATATGAAAATGATGAAAATCTTGATCAATAATATTAAAACCCATATGAGTTGTATTTCTTAAATAAATGGATAATACAAGTAAAATCCAATCAAAGTATTACAACGTGGATATAATGGATCAAACCCAACTTAAGTACAAGATGCAAGTGTTGCTCATTTTTTATATTTTAATCAAAGCAGACTTCACAAAGCCAGCTAGAGGTGGCCATTCAACGGGCATAGGCCCGGCCCGTTAAAAAAGAAAGAACTTTGTCCGGCCCGGCTCCGGGGGGACGAAAATAATAAAAAAAGAACCGGGACCGAACCGCGGCCCTACGATTTCGGTTCAACGAACAGGCCCTTAGGAGGCCGGTGCCGGTGTCGATTCGCGGGTCGGTTCACCGGCCGGTTCGATTCGTGGACATGTCTAAAGCCAGCAGCAACATAATACAAAGAAGCTTCAGAAAAATCACACATAAAAGTTGCCATAAGAAACTAAACAAACAAGAATATTGTTTTTCTTTTTGGGAATACTGGAAGCTGTGTGGAGAAAGAAAAAAACTATACACTTGCAAACATATGTCTGTGCTCTTAAGAAAATGATGATCTCTCTCTACATATATAAGCACAGGCACATGAGTTTGGCTTAGACAATTTAGTCCAACACAATTTTTTGGGTGACGCGAGACGTGACATAACCGTTAGTCGGTCGATCTATCATACTTCTATAAATAAATACACACATCTATATATATATTGTGAAATGTTATTCTTTTAATTATATCCAAATTTAGTTGAAATTTTCTCCAGAAAATTCTAAAATATGAATTGTGTTTGTCAAATTTAGTTGAAGAGCTAGTTGATAAACTAATATTTTATATATGATTTTCGAACTTATCGTTGATAGTATATGACTGAAAGCTGAAAAGTAATACAATAAAATAAATATCTTTGTAAAATTAAGTGATAAGTCGAGCTAAAAAAAGGAAGAAAAAATCTTGAAACTTATGAATAAGTTTCAGTTTCTTAAAAAAAAAAATCTCATCAACTTTATTTAAAAAAAAATAAAAACTAGTTAAATAAGTTGTCAAGAGGTGTGAAACTCATTCATATTCCCAACTTGATCTCCAGAGTTTTACAAAGGCTCAATATATAGATACAAAGGAAAGCCTAAAAATCTACACCAAATCTCTAAGATATCAAATATTATCTCTACCAAAAATACAATATTCACAAAATCACATTAACACATTAACACCCCCCCTCAAGTTGG